GAGGGCAGATCGAGGGAGAACATGAGATGAGCCACCCAACCAGTTTTGCTTCCGTGCCCCTCCCAGAGATAATATGCAGTTATATCATAAGGGATTATTATCCTTGGAAAAGCCATCCACCAATCGACTAACAACAATGTTCCTACTTACTGCTGGGTAAACGGAGGCGTGTGGAGTAAGGAAACTTGCCCAACACTTCGCCCGGCTGGGAATCGAACCCCGGTTCCCCTCACTTGCGAGTGTTCTAACCACTGAGCAATGGGAATCCGCGGGGATGGGGGGGGGGGGGGGTGGGGGTGGTGTCAGTAATGGATAAGCCGCCAAAAAAATGAAATAACAATTTGCTCCTTCTCTGTCGTGCCTTCAGCCGCTCTGCCCCGAAACTCTGAAACTCTCTCACTCAATTCCTCCGCCTCGCCGCCTCCCGCCCCACCTTCAAATCCTGCCTAAGAACCTTCCCTTTTGATCGTGCTGACAGTCAATAACAGCCCCACCCACCCCCCCCCCCTCCCACCCTCCCTCCTTGGCTCGTTGTCAGAGTCCGCCATTGTGAAGCGCTCCGGGAAGCTAAACCCACATGAAGCACGCTGTGTAAATGCAAGCTGTTGTCGTAGCTCAGGACTCATCCGCAGCCCAAACGAGAAGAAGCCATATGGAGTGTTTTGCACCGTGTAGATGGCTGCTGTGTGTGCGCCTGAGATGCTCAGTCCCCCCCCCCACCCGCTCCACAGCAATGCCCGTCTGCAGCCCAGTGGTAACTGGAGTCCTCTCCGTAGGCCACTAATGGTATGTGCAGTGAGTTCTGATTACACATCCCCAACCATATGGCAGCTTCTCCGAAGTCTCTTAACACGCTTAACCGGCGTCGAAGAGGGCTTGAGATCGCCATCGCAGGCTGGTTCTGTCGGGAGAAGTTCCTGCTCGACGGCAATCGAGCCTGTCGCAATCTCCCAACGGCGTGTGTCAATGCACACTTCCTCCCCGACAGTTATTGTGCCGCGGTTATCCAGCAGAGCCCTTTGCCGAGAGTGGCCGAGGCTGCTGTCGGTGAAGCGCTGCTCGCGGCCCGGTCTCGCGGCACGGTCTCGCGGTACGGTAAAATTGAAAACTCCCGGGGCCCTTCGTTCCACGCTTCTTACAGAGAGAGCAGCTGCCGAAGCTGTGGCAGCTTTATCGCTGAAGGTCAGACCCCGGGATGGAAGCAGCCGCGTTGCACGCAGGCCCATCGTACAAGAACGTAAGAACACCCGAGACGCTATAAAGAGGTCCATCTCGTCCGTCTTCCACCTTCCTGGCGGTCGCGTGCACGCAAGGCCCAAACTCCCCACGTCCTGTGTCCCATACTGTTATTTCCTTAAGGAAAACTATCTAATCTGCGTTCGGAAGAATCAACCACTTCCTGCTTCGACCGTCTCCCTCGGGAGTCTGTTCCACAAGGTTCACCGATGCGTTCGTTGAAATGGCGTCTGCGTAGATTCTTCCTGAATTTACCCGCCTTCAATCGCATGCCGTGTCCTCTGGACTAGTTGATACAGCGTGATCGACATTGTTTTGCCCCTTGAGGATGCTTAAAGACAACAAACATGTCACCTCTCCATCTTCTCATTTCCAGCGTGAACATGCCCCAATTTACTTAGTCGGAGTTTACGCCCCACATAGGCCTCCTCCTGTCCTTCCTCAACTAAGCCTATCAGCGTTCCTGTACACGGTACTCTATACAACCCAGCGTGGGCACTGAGCAAGCCATCCAGCACTATTTATTCTGCTGGTTTTGTCATAGATTTGGGAGGTCTTTGCTTCTATTCGCCGTGTAGTCTCTTCCCCATTCACTCCCCCAACCCCCCCCACATCCACCACATGTGCTATTCGCCTGTGGCGCTCTTGCGATACCGCCTCAGGAAGGAAGAGTTTACACCAACTGCAGATAACTGACTCTCTCCGACTCTCACTTCCTCACTCCCCAAAATAGCATCGCGTTGGAGTGTCGGCCTAGACTATGAGCTCGGGGGCTTGACCCCCCACAACTTTTAAACTGAGGTCCCATCTGCCTGTCCAGGTGGACATTAAAGATCCCACGGCATTATTCGAAGAGAGAAGGGAGTTTTTCTCTCTCTCCCCCCCGGTGTCCTGGCCAACAAAATCCCCCAAGTAAAATTGGTCACTCACGCAACGCCTGTTTGTGGGACTGGCTGCCACGTTTCGCAGCCAAAAATACACAGTCACTCCACTTTACGGTGTATCCTGTGAAACGCTTTAGGACGTCTCGATGACGTGAAAGGCGGTGGATCAAATTCAAGGATGATTATTATTATTATCGAACGAGTGGAGTCCTGTAGCTCAGTGGTTAGAGCACTCGCTTTGCGAGCGAGAGACCTGAGTTCAATTCCAGGCAGAGGGCGAAACCTTGGGCAAGTTTCCTTACTCCACACAGAGCCTAATAATAATCCCTCCAAAACCAAAACAATAATAAATTGGTCATTTTCAATCCACGACTGTTTGTGGGACATTGCTGTGCGCAATCGGCCGCCGCGTTCGCCCACAAATATACAGTCAATTCACTTCACAGTGTGTTCTGTTAAGCGCTTCGGGACGTCCTCCCGACGTGAAAAGCGTTATATCAAATGCAAGGATTATTATTATTATTATATCCTTGCTCAATGCCATGAATTAATTACACCAAATTGCTTCCATCTGTAGTCCCTTTGGCAATCTGTTGAGATACATTTTAGCCGTTCCCCCCATTGCACTGTGTTGTATAAAGAAAAATAGCTCAACTCCCACCCCCCTGTAGTGCAAGTTCCAGGGGGGGGGGTTGTTGGGGGGGGGGGGTGGGAGGTGTGGGGGCCATCCATCAGAGAACATAAAGCGGGGAATTTACCGAACGAGCTGTGCCATTGGGATTTGCTTCCCAGTCTAACAGACCAGACACGCATTATAGTGTATCAGAAGACTGGAAAGCCTTCCCCAGTGTTTCATGTCAAAAATATAACAGGCTAATAATTCATCAGCACCACACGCACACACACACGCACACACACACACACGCACACGCGCGCACGTCCCTGCTCCTCAATCAATAGTCCGCATCTGATAAAACCATCATTTCCACCCGACTGTTCGTTTGACTTCAATCACTTGCCCCCACCTCCCTCCCCGCCCGCCCGCCCGCCCGCCCGCACCCCCCCGCGGGACAATGGGTGTGTAGGGACCGACAGCCAAGCCAGAGGTGTCACCGCTGCACTCCGAATCCACCTTCAGATTCGCATCGGCTAGTCACCCGCTTCCAAATATAGCCGGCGAGGTGGTCCCTCTGCAATGCAACGCAATGCAATCAGCTCCTCGCCTCCCGTGTCGAGGGCTGAGAATAGGTCTCACTCTCCAGAAGATGGGATGAAGCCCACGTGTCTCTCAGGAAGACTTGCTCTTGCAAGTTCTTGCTCGCTTGCACACATAGCACCGGCCGTTTCGCCTCACGCAGCAAACGCGGGAGGAGTCGGAAGCGGAGGCTCGAGTGAGAGAGTGAGAGTGAGAGAGAGAGTTTATTATTGCATTAGCCACAGACTCCCGACTTCAACAGTAGGACCCATTGCTCGTCTCACGCTCATTGCAAAGTATTCCAACCGGGGATATGTCCGGCCCGCGGGCTGACCGGCATTTCCCCCCCCCCCCCCACCCCCCCAAACCTCCCCCGTGCGATGGGTTTACAAGTAGATCGGTTCGCCCACAAAATACACAGTCGCTGCACTTTACAGACTATTCCGCGAAGCGCTTTTTTGCGACGTCGCGAAGACGTGATGAAGTGCTACATCAAATGCAAGGATTATTATTATTATTATTATTATTGTTACCGTCGTCGTCACTGTTATCACCGCCGCAATTTTAACCGGAAGCGGAAGGTTTCGCCCCCAAAACACAAGTCAATCCACTTCACCGCAAATCCTCTTGAAGAAGCGCTTTGAGACGCCTCGAAGACGTGACAAGACGTCGCATCGAAGTGTAGGGATTGTTACTGCTATTATTATTGATCCCACACTGTGCAAAACTTTTTATTCAAAAAAAGGGGAGCGGTTCATTTCCACTTGTTTTAAAAAATAATGTTGAGCCACAGAGAGTGAGGGAGAGACGGAGAGAGCGAGGGAGAGACGGAGAGAGCGAGGGAGAGACGGAGAGAGTGAGGGAGAGACGGAGAGAGCGAGGGAGAGACCGAGAGAGGGAGAGGGAGACGGAGAGAGGGAGAGGGAGTGACGGAGAGAGGGAGAGGGAGTGACGGAGAGAGGGAGAGGGAGTGACGGAGAGAGGGAGAGGAGAGTGACGGAGAGAGGGAGAGGGAGTGACGGAGAGAGGGAGAGAGGGAGGGAGTGACGGAGAGAGGGAGAGGGGGAGTGACGGAGAGAGGGAGAGGGAGAGACGGAGAGAGGGAGAGGGAGTGACGGAGAGAGGGAGAGGGAGAGACGGAGAGAGTGAGGGAGAGACCGGAGAGAGTGAGGGAGAGACCGAGAGAGTGAGGGAGAGACCGAGAGAGTGAGGGAGAGACCGAGAGAGTGAGGGAGAGACCGAGAGAGTGAGGGAGAGACCGAGAGAGTGAGGGAGAGACCGAGAGAGTGAGGGAGAGACCGAGAGAGTGAGGGAGAGACCGAGAGAGTGAGGGAGAGACCGAGAGAGTGAGGGAGAGACCGAGAGAGTGAGGGAGAGACAGAGAGGGGGACAAGGAGACAGACAGAGATGGGGGGGGGACAGATAGAGAGAGACAGAGAGAGACCCAGAGAAAGGGAGACAGAGAGAGACAAGACAGAGAGGGAGAAGGAGAGACAGAGGGAGGCAGACAGACGGAGGGGAGAGAGACACAGACAGACAGACAAACAGAGAGGGACACAGACACAGACAGACAGACAGAGAGGGACACAGACACAGACAGACAGACAGACAGACAGACAGACAGACAGACAGGGACACAGACAGACAGAGAGAGAGGGACACAGACACAGACAGACAGACAGTACCTTGAGGGCGCACTTGAGCCCTGACTTCTTGCTCACACACTCCAGGACTCTGCCGTTGACCCCGAGGCCGAGCACTCGGGTCGACACTCTGTAGTCGTCGGTGATGGAGTGTCTCCTGATCTCAGGCCGTGACGGGGGGACCCCCGGGACCCCCCCCACCCCGGGCCCCCCCGCCCCGGGACCCCCGCCCCGGGACCCCCCCGCCCCGGGCCCCCCCGCCCCGGGACCCGACCGCTTACCGGCCGCTCCGTTACCGTTGTGCTGCAGCATAGCGCGGGGGAGGAGGGGACAGAGCTGTGGGGGGCTGGGGGGGGTCCCGGGCTGTGGGGGGTCCCGGGGCTGTGGGGGGGCTGTGGGGGGGGGGTCCCTGGGGCTGTGGGGGGCTGTGGGGGTCCCGGGGCTGTGGGGGGGTCCCGGGGCTGTGGGGGGGTCCCGGGCTGTGGGGGGCTGGGGGGGGGGGTCCGGGGCTGTGGGGGGGTCCCGGGGCTGTGGGGGGGTCCCGGGGCTGTGGGGGGGGTCCGGGGCTGTGGGGGGGCTGTGGGGGGGGGTCCCGGGGCTGTGGGGGGGGTGGGGGGGGTCCTGGGGCTGTGGGGGGGCTGTGGGGGGGTCCCGGGGCTGTGGGGGGCTGTGGGGGGGGGTCCCTGGGGCTGTGGGGGGGGGGGGGGGGGTGGGGGGGTCCGGGGCTGTGGGGGGGTGGGGCTGTGGGGGGGTCCCGGGGCTGTGGGGGGGTCCCGGGGCTGTGGGGGGTCCCGGGGCTGTGGGGGGTCCCGGGGGTGGGGGGGTCCCGGGGCTGTGGGGGGGTCCCGGGGCTGTGGGGGGCTGTGGGGGGGTCCCGGGGCTGTGGGGGGGTCTCGGGGCTGTGGGGGGGTCCCGGGGCTGTGGGGGGGGGGGTCCCGGGGCTGTGGGGGGGGTCCGGGGCTGTGGGGGGTCCCGGGGCTGTGGGGGGGGGTCCCGGGGCTGTGGGGGGGGTCCGGGGCTGTGGGGGTCCCGGGCTGTGGGGGGTCCCGGGGCTGTGGGGGGGGTCCCGGGGCTGTGGGGGGTCTCGGGGCGGCTCTCGGGCTCCGCTCTCACTCACTATCGGCGCTGTGTGAGAGACACGAATCTATCAGCTGATTTCCTGGCGGTGACGTCAGTGCCGACAACTCCCCCCTCCCCATCCCATCAGCCCCTCCCCCTCTCCCCCCTCCCCATCCCATCAGCCCCTCCCCCTCTCCCCCCTCCCCATCCCATCAGCCCCTCCCCCTCTCCCCCCCTCCCCATCCCATCAGCCCCCTCCCCCCTCTCCCCCCCTCCCCATCCCATCAGCCCCTCCCCCCTCCCCACTCCCCATCCCATCAGCTCCTCCCCCTCCCCACCCCCCCCTCCCCATCCCCTCCCACCACATCCCCTCCCATCCCAGCAGCTGCCCCAGACCGCATCCCATCACCTCCTGCTCCCCTCAGACCAGTTCAATAATAATAATAATCCTCGCATTTGATATAGCGTTTTTCCCGTCGGGAGGACGTCCCAAAGCGCTTCACAGAACACACTGTAAAGTGAATTGACTGTATATTTGTGGGCGAACGCGGCGGCCAATGGCGCACAGCAATGTCCCACAAACAGTCGTGGATTGAAAATGACCAATTTATTATTGTTTTGGGTTTGGAGGATTATTATTAGGCTCTGTGTGGAGTAAGGAAACTTGCCCAAGGTTTGGCCCTCTGCCTGGAGTTGAACTCAGGTCTCTCGCTCGCAAAGCGAGTGCTCTAACCACTGAGCTACAGGACTAAAATTACCTGAGGCTCATAGAACCACAGTGCCACAGTGGCATGATTCACGCGACGATTCACCATAAGTTTGTTCAAAGAAAAATTAGGAAAGCAGAACATTCAATGGGGGAAAAGGAATATAAAACAATACACACGTATATATCTATATTTTTGGGCAGTCAGGTGTCTGACCTAAGAGTAGCTGAACTCACCGGAATCACAACTGCAGTTGTGATGTTATTGGTGACGAGCGAGAAACTTTAGTTTTAATACATTGGGAGATTGTATTCAGGAGGATCCATAACTAATTGCGGTAAATTCTTATGGGAATCTCCAGGCATTCTGTTATTTATTTTATGAGCTCTTGTTTGCTCAACAGTTTCCATGTAATTCCTGTCCTCATTTGTTTTCCTTCTCGCACCCCATTTGATTTTGATTCCGCATCCAGCAGCTTAATGGGAAATGAAAACAAATTGCATGTATATCGCGTCTTTCACAACAGTTATTGCAAAACACTCGTGAAACCAGTGTAACACTGACAACGCAACTAGACAAGTCCAGGGTTTATTAAACTGGAGAGAGGTCACCTAAAATGTCACCTCAGTTAACTCAGAATGAAAACACACGCTCGTGGATAAAATGGGACAAAATACACCACGTGACCGAACAAGATCAAATTTTTTTATTGCAAAAACAGTGTTTAACAGTGTTCAAAAGAAAGTATCATTCTGTGCCAGTTTGGCAATGCACAATCTCAGTCTTTCGGCCACATTGCTACCTGAGAACCTCACCTAAAACATTGTTCGCTTAAAAACTGTTCACTTATCAGTGTAAAAATAGCTACTACAATGTATTGGAGTTTATCCCCTTTCCTTACCCAATGCTCTCATGTGGCACAGAGCACTGGGGAGCTGGGAATGTTGATTGAATGTTCTGGACCAGAGATATTATTGGAGAAGCGAGACAGAGAAAACCAGCCTGTAACATGCCGAGCGATTGAGTTTTAAATCCTAAATACTTAGGCAAATAATATCAATGAGCTCTTAAAAGAATGGACTCTTCCCTTTCATCCACGAACCAACAGCAACTCAACGCAGTTCAAGCAGAACTGAACAACCGCCTCCTCTTCTTCTCAAAAGTTGATTTTTATCTCGTGCAGACAGTTGGCCTTATGGACTGTGCGTCCTGTCCTCTCTATTCTTCCACCTTTGTGCTACTGCAAACTTCCCTAGGGTGACCGTTCTCTCGGTGGATGTTGAAGAGTTTGTCAAAGGAAACACCACTGCGCTTCAGCAGATACACAGCAGCGTGCAGCCCGCCCACATTCACCCAAACGGTGTGAGACTTCCGCCAGAGTTGCCCCATTTTCGACATGGCCTGCAAAGGGAAATTGTGGGTTTTAGGTCCTTGAGCGTCAACAGGACTTACAGTTGTAGCACTTGCAGGTATTTTGAGTCCTGGTACAGATTCTACTTAGATAAGTAGATTCTACTCAAGCCTGCACTTCTATTTTGAGATTTAAGCGCTTGCACACACACACACACACACATTTCCACAAGTTGCAAACACAATCTCTTTGGTCCTCTTCACTCTCACATTGACAACCCCACCCCCCATTCTAACCATTTTTTGGGGGGTCGACCAGGTTATCAGCGGAAACCCATCACCCATTGCTTAAGAGTGTCCAAACCAAACTGAGAATTCCATTCATCCACCTACACATGGAAATTCCAGAGGTAGATTGTTGGAATGGAAAGCCCTCTCTCTCTCTCTCCGTGGAGGGGATGCATCCTGCCTTACCCAATTCCGGAAAGTATTAGGTGCAGGTTGGCAAGAGCCAAGGCTTGGGGACCCCAGAGTATGGGTTGGGGTCATTGCTGGAATCTAACAAGCTAAAACCCGCGTAGCTTGCCATTAATAAGCTTGCCCTGGCAGGCTTTACCGCTCCTGTTCCAGCTAGCACCACCCTACCTGTTAGGGCTTTGTCTTACCTTTATAAAACATTTCTTGTCTTGAGTAAGGAGAACTGCTCTGCCTGTCTCAGGCCGACATACCCGTCCCATTTCCTTCAGACAGGCTGGATACAGATCCCAGTTCTTCTTCCTCGAGCCCATCCTAGTTTTGTTCAGAAACATAGCTTATCAAAGGCAAATGAACTAACACAAACAAGTCTCCTCCACGCAAATTATTTTCTGAAAGAATGCAGAGCAGTTTACCTCTTTCCAAATGGCATGTCCGATATAATCACATCCACGGAATTTGTCTTCATGGGAAGGTTACAAAGATTCCACTGGAGAACATCTAAAGGCATTCCACAGGCAGTCCTGCAACATACACAAGTAGAGTTCAATAAAACATAGGAACAGGAGTAGGCTATTCAGCCCTTGAGCCTGTTCCACCATTCTATAACATCACGGCTGATCTTTACCTCAAGTCCAATTACCATCTTTGCCCCGAATCCTTTAAAACCCTGACCTAACAGATAGCTATCTACCTCTGTCTTGAAAATGTGAATGGATTCAGCAACCACAGCCTTTTGGGGGAGAGAGTTCCAGATTTCCACTGCCCTTTGGGTGAAAAGCTGCCTCCTAATTTCACTAGGTAGGAGGCAGTTTTTCACCCAAACTATGTAGTTGCAAACTCTGCCTTTTGTTTCACTAATTTTTCAATTAATTTCCCAGGCTCGGTTTATCATGACATCTAAATTGGGCATCAAATCCCTCCCAGTGAAATGAACCTGTCACAAACTCTGTCCCCCTGGGCATGAGCAAGTTCTACTCCACTGTCTTGCTCAGCTCGGATATTAACCCAACAAAATTGAGAAGTTTCTCATAGAGATGTCACAGTTCTGGTCTAATTGCGACACTGTTGTAAAGCATGGATTCTAAATTAGTCAGTGGTTTACCACTGGATATTCATTTAACAGAGTCCACAGATATTCACAGAGATGGTAGATTTTACAGTACATCTTTGATGCACAAGCTTGAACGAAAAAGAATAACCTCTAACTAGCGCCTATTCTGCTGGGACTCAGCAATATGTGGAGGATCCAGAATAAAAACTAGACGCTTACCTTCCTTTTTCCATTCTTTGTTTCTGTATTGAGCTGATGTTATTGATGGATCTATTCACAGCCAAAACATTGTTATCTCCAGCCAGATAGTAACACTGGGGGAATTCTAAAGCTCCCTAGTGGGAGGAGGTCAGAAAATAGTTTTTACTGATGTTCATAACTGAAGCAATTAATAAACTTGGGGTAACAAACTTATAACTGTCTGTAATGTTTTTGACAGTCAGCTGAACATTAGCATCAGGACTTATAGGACGATTAAAAGTTTTTCTTCTGGTGAGGTGTTAGGAGACCCAATTTGCTGCTCTTCTCAAAACCTGTACTGTACACTGTGTTCATCTATTCTGAACTAATATGTGTGTGGGTTATCCATAGTCTCTTTATATTCTGTTTACTTTTAAAGTCAACGTGAACGAGTTCATTGCTTTTTGGTGGTGGTGGTGGTATGTGTGGTCTGTGGGCGAGGGGGAGGGTGGGGCTATATTGAGCATGCTGAATCTTTACCAATGATATTTCCCTGGCATTCCCATTCCCGCTAATATTGTTTGCATAATATCCTATTACCAGAGTTACCAGAATAGTCACTCTGAAACACAATGCTAGCACAATCAACGACACAAAGTCATCTCACTCTATTGCCTACTTCTCAAATCTATTCTTTAAAAATAAAATATTTTCAGTTATTAGGAGTTCTACATATAATGTACATAATATATATATAATGTATATATAACGCACCTAGAAGAAGCACATACTTGTTCTCTAAAGCTGTGTCGTGTCCTTACCTCAATTGGTATAGCTCCGGTTCCACACATCGGATCAACAATAATATCAGTGGGCTGAGGATTACAGAGCCTGTGATACACAAATGTACATTCAGAAACAAATCTTTCACATCTTTAAACTAAACCACGCTCAGCAGCTGAAGGCCCAAATAACTTGCTTGATCCCTTTCAGCGCTTCCAGTTGAGAGTGAGAACAGAGCGTGTGGGGAATTGCACCTTTCAATCCCTGCCCTATTATCCCAGGCGAACCATGGCAAATCGAAGTTAACGTTTCAGGTCGACGACCTTTCATCAGGTCGATGGCCAGTTCTGACGTAAGGTCATTGACCTGAAACACTAACTCACTTTCCTCTCTCCGTAGACGCTGCCTGACCTGCTGAGTGTTAAGCGACTTCTGTTTTTGTTTCAGATTTCCAGCAACTGCAGTATTTTGGCTTTTGCAAATCTAACAAAGTTATGGAGAACTACACTTACATGAATGGAGTTGGATAGCTTCATGGGCCTCCTCACCAGCATACAAAGGAAAGCAATGTCAAATAAGTATCTATTTCAAACAGTGTAGGAAAATCCAGGTGACCAGTACTCAGAATTAGGGTTTACCTTAACATGCCATAGGCTATAGTAGAACGGAGAGTTGTGGGGCCAAAGTGCGTTATGTTTCGCCTGTGCAGACTCTCCTCTGTCAATGCAATACCAACCACCATTTCACCATCGTGAATATTGAGTAGAACCTGGAACAGAAATGAAGACAAACTACATTAAGGGAGAGAACCAGGTGACCCAAGTTTGTAAAATGCTCCTCGTCGTTACCCTGGCGCAAGCAACAGAAGGTAAATGACACCAGAAAACAGTACTGGCTCTGTACCATCTATTCCTAACATTATTTTGTTGGTCAGTATTGCGGATTTGCCTGTCTCAGACTTGTCTATTGAGAGAGCCAGAACAGCAGCTAGATTTTGATACTTCTTTGCTGGGCCAGTTACTCTGAACCAGCTCAGCATCAAGGAGATCCTGTTTCCCATCCATTACTCCCACCATTCCGAGGAGAGTGACTATGTATGTACATTAACTATAAATAGTTGACCGAGCAGTACGTTTCAACATCCTGGAGAGCCACAGTAGTAAGTACCAGCTAAGTTACCTCCACATCGAATTTTGTCATGTCAGCCTTCCACTGGAACATGTCCTGCACAGCCCCCCCGAAATTCCTGGCTGCTTCCATAGAGGTGAAGCTGTGCTTATCCCCAGCTCGATTGCAGGTGACCCGAAACCGAAGGAGTCCATTATCCTTTGCTTTAGCTGCTTCCCTCGCGTCCTCCTCTTTGTCAGAGGGATTATCATCAGGTGGGACTGAGGCATAGTCAACGAATGCCATTGTATTGTTGGGAAGCTCAGAGTTCTCCTCGCTTTCACGAGGCTTTTCTCCTTGGGAGCCAGAAGTTGGGGATGCCAGTGGCTGTCCATTATCCAACTGATCTTCAGTGGGCAACTGGCTAGGGGAGACAAGATCTGACTGATCACCTTTTCTTTTGCTGGCATCACCAGAGGCATCCGTCTGTGCATCACAACTATCGCTGGATTTCCTGCGGTGAAATTTCCTTTTCTTCAGACTGTTGTTCAACTTCCACACGTCAAGGGGACGAGCCCAAGAAAGTTTGGCAACCAACTCCTTGAAGTCCTCCAAGGCAGCTTCCTGTTAAAGAAACAAGCTCGTCAGCAAACACAGGAATCCGCTGCAGAATTCCACAGCACCGTTGTCACTGAACAGATTTAGTCTCTTGGCGACAACACAGCACAGAAAATACAACAACTTGCATTTATATAGCACTCCTCAGCGTCCAGGAATGCTTTAGAATTCTGTAGAATTGGATAATATTTTCTATAGAATGAATTCTCTACTCTCCTCCACAAGTGATCTTTCTTATATTTTTGTTGGTGAATGTTTCGCTTATTAAAATGAGGCATATTAGTACTGGGAATGGGTTTAAGTGCTCAAAGTACCCAAGGAATGGATCAGTATCCTCTGGAGGGGAGAAAAGAGGAGTCAAATTCCCAGTAGGGTTAAGGATTCAGGAGCAGGAATCGGTGTTCTGTAAAGGTCCATGAATACAGTTTTAAGATTAGTGTCTGTGTAAAGGGCTGTGCAGCTTGACAATTCCCACATAAAGAGCTCTTTGACAAAATTATTTTGCCTCTCCCCCTACCCGCAATGTATATTTAAAACAAAAGTTTTTGAACTTACCTTGTTTTCATCAAACTGGTAACTAGGAAACTCCTGAACGACAACAAATAAGTTGTCCACAGATCGTAAGAGATGCACCTGAAAGGCAAAAGGTAAAATAGAATTAAATAGCTCTGGAAGAAATAGTTTTCGTTTGAGCATCTTTTCCTCCCTTCCCTTTTGAGTAGATATTCACGCTCTCTTCCGTGTGGTGGATAGCATTACAATCCCTCTAGTCTCTCTTCTAATTGCAGTCACAACTTATATAACAACTTGCATTTATATAGCGCTTCTTACGCAGGGTAGTGTGCCAGTACCTTTACATTGCGCCTTTCACATTAGGAGGTTATATTATTCAGCTGACTGTGAGTCTAAGCCGGGAAGGGGAGCTGAGGGCTGGGGCAAAAGTGGCCGAACGTATGAATTAAATTACCAGGGATGTTCCAATCTTCCTCATCTGTGACTGCATCCTTCTAGATTCAGCAGAAGGAGCTGAGGGCAAATGAGACTGTTGCAAGACCCTCAAGCTAGGTACAAAGGAATTTCTTTGGACGATTCTTAAACATAACCAAATTTTAATTTCCAAATTTCCACCAACCTCAAAAAGATTGTCGATTGAAACCTCAAAATATATCCGCCCTCGATCCTTGCTAATCCTGGATTCCGAGCCAATTTTCTCCAGGACCTCAGCGCTGGCTGTGCATTCGAATCCGGTTGGAACAGTAGCTCCAATAGTTACGCAGATGGCAACCAAGTCACTATCTGGGTCCGTTCTTTCACCTCCATTTCTGACAGAATTCTCCTCTGTTGGAGCAGCCTCGACCTCGGTTGCCTCTGTTACTTCACTCACAGCTTCTTCTTTAGCTTCAGACATCCCAACACTTGTCTTAAGGGCAGTGGAATCTCTCGGAAAATGTCAGAGCTTGAATAACTGTACACAGTTGTCAGATCAGCGTCCAGCAACCTGTCTCCTGAAAAAGAAGTCAGACAGTCGTTTCATTTTGTTCAATTTTCAGCATTTCCACAACTTCCTACTCCCTTCTACTTCATTCCCAAAATGCAGCATTCTGATGCTGATGGGTTGAAGGACTAACCTGCTTTCAATGCCACATCAATGAATTACAGGTATGATCCCATCCTCTAGGTCTCTTCCCCCCCACACTCCACACACCCTTTGGGAAACTAACCCTTCTGAGAATATAGTCCAGTCCAGAATCAGAATCAGGATTGTTGTTAAGTTTCCAGCGCCTTCGGACGTCCTCCTGACGTGAAAGGCGCCATAGAAATATAATTGATTGTTGTTGCAGGTTGCCTAAACTGGTAAAAAGGTGCTTGTAGAAACTAGGAATAAATGTATTGAAAAGTTTCTTTAAAATAAAAACTTTTGAGGGAAGTTCAAGGATGTCATCGGAATGACTCTTTGTTGGGAGGTGAAAAAAAGGTGCCGTCCTTCGGATGAGACGTAAACACCCAAGTCTTGCCTGCCGTTCAGGTGTACGTTGAAGTGCCCTGGTCAACAATCCTCCAGGTCATTCATTGGTAAAATTGGTCATTCATTGCATGGTTGTTTGGAGGACACTGTGAGCAAATTAGCCCACTTACAAACACAGTCACTACAATTTACAGCCCCCCCCCCGTCTTGGCGACGTGCTTTGCCACTCTCAAGCACTCCGAGACACGACCTTGTGTGAGGGGCCCTATGTCAATGCGAGCTGTTGTTGTAAAACCTGTGAAGTAATTTGAGAAGTAATTTTTTTGATGATCAAACTGCCGGCCTGGCTCATCAATGAGACTTTATGGGGGCAGACGTGTCCACTTGCACTCAGGCAATTTTGCAAACCAACATCCATCCTAACGGGCTAAGGTGATCTCTGCTGGACAAACAGTGAGGGGAGGGGAGGGAAGCCTTACAAGTATTACCTTCTGGTAAACCGCACGACCGTAGTTCGTTCCAGAAGTGTTCCCAACGCGACCAAACTAACCTCTACCCAACCCAACGACCAGAGCTGTCGTCGTTCTTTTCGACGCTCGCCCTCTCTTGGTTCGTCCGAGTAAAAATAAGTCCATATGTTTTTTTTTAAAAACAAGAAATAGCACAGATGCATTCAAGGGGAAGCTGGACCGGCCCACGAGGGAGAAAGGAATGGAAGGTTCTGCTCAAAGGCTAAGCTGAGGAAAGGGCAGGAGGGCGGCTCGCGCGGAGGACATCGACCGGTCGCGCGGAGCACATCGACCGGTCGCGCGGAGGACATCGACCGGTCGCGCGGAGGACATCGACCGGTCGCGCGGAGGACATCGACCGGTCGCGCGGAGGACATCGACCGGTCGCGCGGAGGACATCGACCGGTCGCGCGGAGGACATCGACCGGTCGCGCGGAGGACATCGACCGGTCGCGCGGAGGACATCGACCGGTCGCGCGGAAAGATCACATAGTATTATTCGAAAAGAAAAGGACATTGCTGGGTGCAAATCACCTACAAATACACAGTCGCTATATTTATACCAGTATTTACTGTGAAGCATTTTGGGATGTTTCAATGTGATAACGTGCTATTCGAAATGCAAGGATTATTATTTTTAAAGTGAAGATATACTTTACAAAAAGGTGTTGAGTTGGGGTCTTGGACACTATTACAACAGCAACAACTTGCATTTATGTAGCGCCCTTCATGCAGGGTAGCGTCCCAGAGCGCTTTACATTAAGGCGGCTACGTTATTTTTGTCTCGCTTGAGCATCTCTGGAAAAGAGTTCCATCAAAAGAGGGAGAGCAACAGAAGGTATGCAAAAACAATGCAACAAAGCCATCAAACCAAAGGTAGAATCTCTCCATTTTGATTGAATTGGGGAAAACATTTCACCAGAAGAGTGGGATTTTTTTTCTGGATATAAAGGGTGTACAACAACTTTTATTTTGAAAATATATATTGAATTATAAATCTAATACTCAGTGCAACAGAAATCCAAAACAAACACAACAACTACTGTTACAATTCTCCCTTTTTCTCCCGACGCAAGCCTTGCCTCATCTGGCTGTTCTGCCTGTGTGAAATCATGTGCACAATCTGCCACTCTGAATCTGAACGTCCTGTTACCGTGCGTCGCGCAACATGGCTCTCAGGGGTGCACCTCTTTATCACTTGTACAGAGATGCAGATTGCCTAATCAAGTGCAAAGAAATTACCACTGGCTGGCAAGAGGAAGTCTGGCAGCATCTCCACATGTCATACCCTGGAGGGCCTTGGGAATTGGTATGAACTGCAGCGAGCAAGTCAGGGGAATGACAGGAAAAAAAACGAGCCTGGAGGATGGATGGGTCTTGTTCGTAACCTTGAACGGAATCTCATCTCTTTCTTTGTCGAGACGGCTTGTTTTATTTACTGGGTGAGAGATAGCTGAGATAAGCAAATGGAAACCACATCACTTCTAGCTTTGGCTATGCGTTTAAATCCATCCTTAGCATCTCCTCTCATTGCGAGCCATGTATAAATCCATAGCTTGAAGGCACACAGCCACTGAAGCATTCACTGGACAGCCCCGTCCAACCGGCTGGGTCCATGTTGCTAAATTAATTACTTTCAATATGATTTTTGTTGCCTAATCCTATCTACTGGGTAAATTAACCAGTGCACGCATGTACCTGGTTAGGTTGATGATCATTTTAGTTCCTTTAAACAGCCTGATCTTGTCAACGTTTACTTTTGTTGAACTGGAATGCTATAAAACAACTGGAAAGAACAACAAGGTGTGTTTATCAAGCGCCCTTCACGCGGGGTAGCTTCTCCGAGCGCCTGACAGTGGCAGAGTCTTGACACCGAGCCACCGGGGAGAAGGGAGGGCGGAGGTGACCTTAAGCACGAAACAACCTGTACTTCAAGGGATTCTAACGGTGAAGGGTGCAGGAGAACACGAGCTGTGCATCAGATGTATTCACACGACGTCTGATGACAACTTGCAGGTCACAAGGCCCTCCCCACCTTCCAAGCTGAGGAGTAGGAAAATCACTTGGCGACTGTTTCCAAACCTCTTAATGGTGGGGAGCTTAGATCAAGCCATTCCAAGGGTAACGCAGTGCAGTTTGTCGCTAGAATAAAAATTTGCCCTATGCCATTGATCTCCCCCCCACCCCCCCCACCCACACCCATAGCACAGTCAAGGTTTGGCAGGGGTTAAACAGGAGTCATGGAAGTATGAAGCCTTTCAGCTGTGACTGGGAGATATCGCATTTAAAATGCAAATAAAGTAGCGCCCGCTTGCATCAGTGTGCAGTAAATTTGCCAGCGTTACAGAATAAATTGCTTTCCACATTCCATCAAAACATCGTGTGTGACCCACAAGGCTTCATTGTCAGAGACTCCAGGCCTGTCTGACCTGTGTAGCTGACAGCCGTTTCTCACAGGCCTGCAGCTAACAACTGAGCACTGAATAAAGCTTTGGGAGGAAAGCTGAGATCTACCATCAGACTTTATAAACAGGCCAAGGAGCCCGCTTTTGTTGTGGGGGACAAAGGATGTTCCAGAGAAAAGAAAGGTCCTGCTACAGTGAGTTCTTGTTAGGTAACTGCTTTGGCTTTGCTGAACAAAATGTTTTGGCTGCGTTTATCCTTGAAGGGTATCTGAGTACAGATATTGGCCACTGTGCCTCATCGACACCCAGTTCAGAAGGCAGTCCTCCATATATTCCAGCTGCTGATATTTTCCATCCCTCCTGGTTTCTGCCAATATTCTCCCATCCTCCTCTCGCAAATATACCGACCTGGGCCAATAGCCCTAACTGGGGTGTTCTTCAATAAAAAGCAGAAGTCGCTGGGAACACCCAGCAGATCAGGCAGCATCTATGGAAAATGAAAAATCAGTTAACGTTTCAGGTCGATGACCTTTCGGTTTGGGTTCTGACGAGTCATTTTTCTCTCTGTAGACGCCTGTCCTGCTGCGTGTTTCCAGCGACTTCTGCCCTTGGTTCAGATTTTCAGCACCTGCAGTATTTTGCCTTTTGTTTCCAGTATTCTTCATGTGTGCGCCTAGTATTTAGGTAACTCAACTTTGAAGAGCATCACAGCTGACCCATTAACTGTCCGAAACCAAAATTTCAGTGGATAGCATTGAGGTTCCCTTTTCCCTTGCAGAAGCTGATTGTAACCCCAACAGATGTCCTCAAGATAAGATCAGCTACCTGTCCAGGAATGGAAATTAGGAACTTCCTGTTCTTCTAACTGAATTACACACTGGGTGTTGCCTTTACTAAGAGCGCCATTGTATTTTCTTTAAAATTAGATGTTCTTCCAAATTAACAATCAGTAGTTTCCTCTGGTTCGAATATTCACGGCTGCCACCACCAGCTGTGTTTGCTGTTTGACCGACAGTAAACAACTTTAACAATATCAGGAAGCAGAAGGTGAAACAGTTATCTTTGTTAGAATACGTGATAAGCCATGATGTCATGCCAGATTGGAGTGCATTCAGCACTAGTATTACCGCCAGGTGTGCCATTAGTTAGTAGGTATAATAAGGTTTGCGGTCTGCAGTTATCGCTTTCCTCAACGACCACTGCAAAGCAACAGACAGTGATTTTTCCCAGCCGAATACGCTGTTTATTTAATCTTATTTCATTGTTCTACGCACAGGCGCAATCCATTTGTGGCTGGCACTTCTGAAAATTTACGCTACCACAATTCAGCACCCAGTAACTCGTTGGGAGAAAAAGGAGTTGGGAAAAAATTGACATTAATAATAATAATAATCCTTGCATTTGATATAGCGCCTTACCACGACTTCGAGACCTCTCAGAGCGCTTCACGCAATACACTTTAAAGTGAATTCACTATATCTTGTGGGCTGCATCCCTCTCCCCAGTCAGCTCACTCACCATATGTCTACTTGCGATCAATTGATGTATAAGTAACACGTGATCATCCTTTAATTATTTTCAAAACTTACATGTGCAAATCTTGACTGAATGGCTTTGCACATGCCTTCAGGACTTTGTTATTTTAATGAATTCGGTTGAAAAAGAACAGAGAATACTACAGCCGTGCAGTTCGAATTTGTGACTGACTTTCCATCCTCACTTGCAGGGAATAACTGACTGCAGCTGTATGGCGATCTGTGAATTTTATTCATGTGCATCTGGCTTTTTTAGCATTTATTTGCATGAGCCAAAGATGCTGCCATTCAACCCTTTGAAGCTTATTCTTCTAGTGTGCTAACACCACAGTTTTGCCTTTATCTCTTAGCTTGGTTTATTATTCCAAATATTCATAACTCTTGAGTAAGATGATGAGAGCAGATATGTTCTGCCCATCAAACCCATTTCTTGTGCAGTCCAGACATAAAATCTATCTGATCGTGGATTTCAGCCAACCACTCCATCTTCTGGGAGAAACCTCTGCATAGAAATTCAATGAATCCCAAGTCAATGAAGTAAAACCCTCTATAATATTCTTACAACTCCTGGATTCATCATTCGATCTTTGCCTCCTACATTACACTGACTGTATCTCCAGCAGCAAAGAATCGTTACACAGCATGGGAAATTTATCATCTTCAGTCTACACTCATCCCCTTATCCTTCAGAGTGTTCTCAATCACCTACTGTACTTATAAAGTTCATTTTGTGAAAATTGCAGGCAAATCTGCAAAATTCCTTCAAAGGATTCTATTGGTAAGCCACTGTGCATTTTGGTACTGAGACAAGGAACGACCCAACTTAAACCTTGGGCTGTGGTGAATTAGCTGATCTCAGCCTGGATGAGCACAGCCCAAGATTCAAGTGATGAAGGGTGCTGGTGTCAGCATCCTCGAATAAAGGAGATGTGGGGGGGAAGAAATCATGCAAGTTTCCTGGTACGCAGTGAATACACAGTCAATTCACTTTGCAGTATATTCTGTGAAGTGCTTTGAGAAACCTCGAAGACCTGATAAGGCCCTATTTCAAATGCAAGAACTATTATTATGATTATTACTGATCCCTGCTGAAAAGTGTGAATGTGAGGATGTCATGTCAGGACAATACCAAACACATCTGCATTTCCTTTTCTGTCAAAACTTGCTGACACTGACTATCTGGGCTTACTTGAGTAACAGCTCTTGTGCAAGGTACTGGAGAGGAACTGGCA